CATTAATCTGTTCACTTTATCTCTAACAAACAATTGCTCTTTGGATATGGTTAAAGAGCATTTTGAAAGATGTTCTTTTTTGTATTTTTACTTACTCTATTGGTCTCTTCTTGACAAACATTCCATTGACAGCAAAATATCAAACCATGAAGCACATTTGATGTTCTCTGTAGAGAATATTTTTTTTCATATTGAAAAAAACAACAAAAAATGTAGAATAAATATTGATGTTGCATATGGTAATGGATATTTAATACATTTAACTTCAGTTTTATGAAGGTTACTTGTTTTTTAATATATTTTATTTGGTAATTGAAATATGTAAAATATAGGTAGTTTGCATACTTTCATAATTTTTATTTCAATATTACAATTGTGGGGAAGCTTCCAAGTAATTTTGAACAAAAAGACATGGCAGAATTTAACTCAATATCAGTCTTGAAAAGGTGTCATGCAAAATTCCTTTTTGCTTTTTTAATGCAGTGTACATCTACTGTATTGTTGTTACTGTGTTGTTAAAAGTGGTTCCTAGGAGTGTCAAATGATGATAATGATGATGCAGAATTATTATCTTCAATTTGTACCTTCCACACATGCTTAACCCCAAACAAATCTTGGCTCGTGTGGGGTTGGAAGCACGGGAAATTCGATAGCACCTGGATGACTGATTCATAATTGTGGTTAGATTTTCAGTGGTATATGTGTGGTTGAATATCTCATGTGGTTTTAGGACTTTTTGGTGTTCTTTTTTGTATGGCATATATACTATTACAGATGTTTTTGCACATCTTAGGTCTCTGGAAATAACCAGTATCTCTTCCTCCTCCCTAAAAATCTGTTCACAAGTCAGTAATAAGTCTCTATCTTTTACTGTTGATAAAAGGATATAAAAGCAAATTAAAGAATCACCTCAGATGGGTGCCAAAAACTACATTTTTGTTTTTGTATATAAGCTCAGGACTTGATATATGTCTGCAGTAAAAATTACCACAGGTAATATGTAATAGGTTGTTTAAAAGACATTTAAAGGAATATTGTATGAAGAGCACAATTTGGTATAGGTGCCACATAATGACTGAATCCATTGACATTTTTGATGGATTTTGTAGTTTGCATATGAAGTTCTTTAGACATAAAAGCTCTTGATTAAGAACATACATTGTAGCTAAGTGGAAGAAACTATACGTTATTAAACATTCTTTGATATTTCCAGGGTCAAATCAGGGCTCAAATAAATAAATTTTGTATTATTGATAGAAACCATTTCTTTCTTCTTCTTTTTTCTTTTATTTCATTGGATTGATTTTTGCTTTAATTCTCATTTATTAAAAGTAAACAGGAAGAAATATAATGAAATACTGAACCCCTCGGATCCAGTTGTTTCACAGTAGTCACATGGCCAAAAAGCTGGGCATTAGGCTTATGCTGGGTGCGTGGCTTGTGGGCCAGGTGAATGCGAACATTCATGCTCCCGCTTTGTAATATTATCTTCTCTTTTTATACATAAGCAGTTTTAGCTTTTTTGCCATTTTACAATGTCCATATTTGTCTTTGATTTGCAATATCCAGATGGTAATAGACTGTTTTCTTTCCACAGACTCCATATTATTCTCTGTAGGTAGTCTAGAACTCAGCACAAGAAAAATAATTTTTCTTTTCACTTTGTTATTTGTACATTTGAAAAAAAAATTGGTGCCCTTTCAATCTTGGCTCACGGATATTACGTTTCACACACATTTATCAATAGAAATTCAGCAAAAGCCCTTTCCTAAATGCCGAATGCATCTAATCATGCTCCAAGAGGTTTGTGAGTCTTTCCTGTCACCCCAGCCTTCAGCCAAAATGCTTGTGAGAGCATGTTCACATCACCTGTCCCTTAAGCCAATTTTATCCATGATGTGATGGTCAGGTCATCCAATTCGTAGGGGTTAACAGTACAAGAGTCACATTTATCTACTTTATAGAAATTATTTTGGATATACTGTTGGCTTTACTTTGCTTTTCTTCCCTGCAAGTTTAGAAAAAGAGAGAGAACCCTTATCTAAATTTGAGGATTTGATTTTCTTAAATTTACAATACCTCTCTCAGATGTAAGTCATTGTATAGAAAAACATACTTGCTGGTTGTATGGGAATGTCAAAAAGTCATTTATATTATTTTTAAGAATCTCTTTTTTCCCCCCTGCAGCAGATCACAGTTGGGTGAAAATTTGTTGTACCCATAAGAGCAATATGCCAGTGAAATATTATTGCCTAAAAAGGCCCCGGAATCAGTTGTTTTCTACCATCTTTCATACTTTGGTGAGTCAGCTTTGTACAGTGCATGACATCATCTTGGGGGACGTGTCTGCAATAGTAAGTATTGCAACTTATATATATATATATTTTTTGCAATTATTTTGCAACAGCTGTCTGGCAGTACCACCATTCACTCAACAGGCATTTGTATTAGGGTCTTGGTAGAGAGCAAATGTGCTAACATACCAGAATAATCTTATGGGTACAAATGGACACAGTGAGTTCTTAAATCCTTTTATATTCTCTGTAGCTATTGGTTTGTAAATTCTTTACCAACCACTTAGATTTACTTGAAGAGTAATATATATCCAGCATCTGATTCTACTTCCCCTATTTGAATGTCTAAAGAACTTCACAGGCAGTTTCCTTGAAATACAAGGTAATGAATTTTTGAGAGTGAGAGGCTTCTAACTATTATTTGTACAGGAATTGTTCATACATGAATTAAAAGTTTGTATAAGGGTCTTTAGTTTATGTTTAATTTTTATACTCCAAAATAGGCAGTATGGGTGACTTTGAACAGGACATTTTAAAAAATCCATATTTAGTTTAGCCTGCTGTTTATCTAATCATAAAACTAATTGACTGATTTACAATCGTGAGGCACCAATATTTATTTCTCCAAGTCCCCTATACATGTGCCAAAGCTCTTTGAAATTGGTTTAAATCCACTGACATGTGCTAGAGTCAGAAGCAGTGGTCCCCCTTACATTGCATAATTGTAGTTATTTCAAGTTACTGTGAACATGTGTTACATTTACTGAATACTTTGATTTTTTATTTGCATTTCCAGTAGCATTTTCTTGTCAGTATCTGTTGAAATAGAAGGAAGAAAAAAACAAGCACTGGAAATATTTGGTGCCCATCATAAGTCTTTTCGTCTTTGTGAACAGAAACATTAGATTAAATTTACAGAATATGAATAGTTGATAATGAGTTAAGGCATGTAGTAAATAACTTTTTTTCCCTGGTTACCCTTTCATTTTTTCATTTTTTCTGAACAGTCTTTGTGTCCTGTTGTTTAACCGTCTTTTTTGTGGCACAGTTAAAGGTATTTTCATCTCGGACCAAAATACAATAAAAGATAAAAAATGATAAAAAATGATTATGAAATGTGCAATGATAATCCATTGAAGACAGGAAGGACAATTTGTCTATTTTTATGTCTTAGATTTGTCTTGTATACTGTGTATATGTTTTTATATTGAATAATTATATTTTAGTACAGAAAGTTGCAGTTACATATATATATATATATACTGTGTATATATTCCTTTTTTGAGGTGATGATTATGAGGGAAAAGTGGGTCCATATGTGCTTAAATACATGAAACACATTCACAAACACACATTAGAAGACTTCCATTCTTGTTATTACAAACCAGGATAAACAAAGGCAACATACTGGAGAAAAACAAAAATATCAATAGACAGTCATAGTCTGGGTCATATACTGTCACAGTTCCACATAGGCACTCACTCACAGGCAAACACACACACACACACACACACACACACACACACACACACACACACACACACACACACACACACACACACACACACACACACACACACACACACACACACACACACACACACACACACATACACACACACATACACACACACACACACACACACACACACACACACACACACACACACACACACACACACACACACACACATACACACACACACACACATACACACACACACACACATACACACACACACATACACATACACACACATATACACACACACACATATACACACACACACATATACACACACACACATATACACACACACACATATACACACACACACATATACACACACACACATATACACACACACACATATACACACACACACATATACACACACATATACACACACATATACACACACATATACACACACATATACACACACATATACACACACATATACACACACACACACACACACACACACACACACACACACACACACACACACACACACACACACACACACACACACACACACACACACACACTCATCTTTCTTATATCTCTCAGTGTTTCATCTCTGTCTCTTACATATGCACATGTGCAAACACAGATGCAATAGATGTTGTTCACAGGCAGTTTAAAAAATCTCTCCAACTCCATGAGTCGAGGAAACCATATCATGTTCTTACTTATCACGACTCCAGTGTTTTTGTCACTTGCTGTTCACAATTTGTAAATATTCTCCTGAGAATATAAAATCATAATAATAACAATCATGATCATTATAGTGAGAATGATGTATAATAATAGTCATTATGCATAATGTTTTCTGTTTCAATATCATGGTGCTTGTACAAAATAGAAATTGATCATGAAGAATGGATGCTGTCCTCTATTTTTGCTGCCTAAAGTAATAATGTCTTTGTGTGCACATGTACAAGAATACTTACTTACTCTCCATCTTGCAATATTCTGCAGCTATGCATAAATGTTAGTCAGATTTTTTTCTTTGCTTTTCTTCTTCGTCATTTTATTTATTTCATTTATTTATTGATTGATTTATTTCTTTTTACAAATCTAATGTCATATGATTTTTTTCATGTCTTGTTGAAATGTAATATGTTTCCTAATATGTTGAGGGAATGCATTAAGCTTGGTTATTGGCAGCATTGAATGGCTTGTGGTATTTATGGTAATAGATTAGGGATCTTCATCTATAGTGTTATATTATTATTATATTTATATATTTTTTTATTATATTTTAATGAATGCTTATAGATCTTGTCATTGTGGAATAGTATGGAAAGTGGGGGCTAGCCAGCATGCACCTCATGTGTGTTTTAACAAATTCCTTAATTGGACAAGAGCTTTTTAAAGGAATTCTTTGACAAAACAAAAGTGAGGTTATTAGTGCCAGCATATTTTCCATGTGTAGAGAAAATCCTTTATTTATTTATTTATTTTTTTAATGAATTTGAGATTTTGTATAAAGATTTTTATAGGTTTTGTCATTGAATTGAAGAGCTCATTATGTTGCTATATTTCTTTGGATTTATTTATAATGGTCATCTTGATTCTAAAAATGTTTTCGTCAGTGAAAGCTGTGTGAATGTGCAGTCCTCTCTGCAGACAGTGTTCAGATGAGAAACAATGCATAATTGATAAATAATGCAAAGAACATGCATAAAATTATACATTCAAGAACCCCTCTTATTTTGTGTAGACATGAAAACTGCCAGTTCACTTTTTTGCAAAGAAAAAGAGAATAGTCATGCAGACAGTAGTGTAGGATGTTGCCTTACGTATTTTGAGATGATAATACAGTCAATAATGCAAATGAAGTTTCCCCCACCATATTTTATTTTGATATATATGTATATGATTTATTTGTTATGAATAAAAACAGCATGATGTAAGTTCTTGTAAGCTTTAGATGTGAAATAAGAACATGTGTATTTAGAGAAAAAAAAAAAGTTTAATAAAAAAAATCAGCTAGTCTGTAACCTGGAAAAAACTATTCATCAAGACAAAAGTGTACAATACTGGGGAAGAAACAAGAACAGATAAACAGAAGCCTTTTTGTAAACCTGGTAAATGAAAGGATACTTGTGCTAATCTTTTATTTGAAAATTTTACTCTGCGTGAGCTGCTAATAAGCCTAGCAGTTAATGCAGTAAACAGTTTTAAATATTCAATCAGTCTGTGGTTCAGAAAAAAGGCAAACCTCTCTTGTTTCCTTTAAGAAAAATGGATATGGTTTATTCTTTCAGTTTTTGAAAGCCATTTTCTCAGGTCTTTTAATCTGCCAAACTAATTGTAAACGAGAAGTAAAGATGGTCACACTGGGGAAGCATAACATTACTTGGTACATGTTTTAGCATTACAGTTGAAATATCTTTTGTAATGGTTATTTATTCTTATATGCATTTCATTACATTTAATTTGATAATTTTGTGACACTATTCATGTTAAATATAGTAACTGTTTTTCAAGACAAAAATTGTAATTTGATAATTTTAGTTTATATGAAACTTAGGCCGCAATATTGTTAATGATATCTGAAATAAAATAAAAAGTAATATTATTCCCTGAATATTAAATTAGAGTATTAGGGCTTTCCTTGGACATGAAAAGCAGAAAAAAAAATGATTGTATTCAAACTAATGTAAATGAATTTGTGGCAATAAAAGTGCATCAAGAAAAGTAAAGGTGATTAGGATTTTTTTTTTTTTTTAGATATAAAACCACTGTCACTTTTTTTTCACATTACTTCTCATGATTCCATTTTGTAAGGAAAATAAAAATTATCATTGTGAAATTTTGGTAGATAAGTTATTCTTTGGACCAAGCCATAATTGTTCCAGGATTCTCTTTTCAAATGATCAGATCCTCTCTGTGACCTCATCTACTGTTGGTGTAATAAAATTAAAATAAAAAAGCCGGTCTTTTTTTGATAAACCTTGTAAGGATTAACACAGCATGAAAGAGCTGGGAAACACTGTAGGGTGTGAAGATATCTCTTGATATTGTTTTATATGGGTGATGATATGTTTTTAAAGTTGATACGTGGATGAATATAGAGTTAGATAGGGGAATAAAAGAAATAAATTATTGGTTTATGTTCTAGGCATATGTTTGGCATGTGTTTGTCTTATTTTTTAATATGTTAAAAGCATTAGGGGATGAAACATTTAAAATAGAAATGCTTTGGGAAAGTACTTCATGTTTGATAAGACTGGTTAGCCAAGATTCTAAACTCCTCCATAAAACTATATGAATTATTTTTACGATTTTTTGTGTGTATTTGTGTAATTTAGGTAACAGAAAAGTTTTACTGTTTAATAAAATCATATGCAGACTTCTTGCTTTAAGTGGAGGAGTGCAGATAAAGACAAAGAGAAAATAGATGACAGTACAATTATACAGCAATACTAGAGAGATTCAGTGTAATATAAATGAAAATGAGATCAACAATTTAACAAGGGAGGAATCTACAAAATATCTATAAAATAAAAAAGACAAACAAACAAAGGAACATCTTTGCACAACTTTCTTAAGAACAGACTATCTGACAAGCAATCCTTCTCAACTGTCTAGTCACCTTGGATTAAAACTGACCTCATGACCGATTGTGGTTGGAAACGAGCTTGAAAGGAATGTTAGGGTTTTTTATACTTTTCAAAATGGTTCTCTGCAGA